CAAGGTTTATAGCTAAGAAAATTAGTGGTGCATGGCATCGTGCCCTAATGCAAATTGCTGGAACTTCATGCACCGTAATTAAAATTCGAGTAATGAATTAGTGAGGATTATCAGAATTATGCTTGGTTAAGTCAACGAGCAATTCTTGCCGCAAAGAATAATGATGTACACGCACTGAATTTCACCATTCAATAAAAAAATGCTGGCGATTTGGTGACATACCAATGATTCCGACTGGTCTTCTGTTTGACTTCAAACGATTGCAATTTCCAGTTTGCCTTGCATTGCAATAACAAGTCGCAAGGCCAATCGCTTAGTGTTTGCGGGAAAAATTTCAAATAGATTATTTAGAAAATCATTGTTTTTCACATGGGCAGTTATACGTTGCCTGTTCACGAGTTGGAAAACCATCCGCTTTGTTGTGTTTAACGTCAGACCAAAAACAAAAAATGTGGTTTACCAAAGAGCACTTCAATGAAACGGATAATTTGCGGATTCACTTTTTTACTTAGAGAGTTAAACTAAAAAACACTTCATTTTTGTAATCGAAATAAATTCATTACTGTTGTATAATAAAATCAAATTTTTCTTTTCAAATACAAAACAAACAAATAATTTCTTCATATTTCTCACGAAACCATCTGGTGGCGAAACGGAGTTCGTCGGGATTGCTAGTATTACTATATTAATACACAATGTTTAAACCGAATTTTTTTTCGAACTAAAATTTTCCCCAAATATGATTTAATTTAATACTATTTCAATTATTATTTTTTCAGATGCAGACTATTAAATGTGTGGTTGTGGGTGACGGAGCGGTGGGTAAAACTTGCCTTCTAATAAGTTATACAACGAATAAATTCCCATCGGAATATGTGCCAACAGTATTCGATAACTATGCAGTCACTGTCATGATTGGTGGAGAACCTTACACGTTGGGTCTATTCGATACAGCAGGTAAATAGATAGATAGATAGATCACTATTTGTTTATGGACATGGAATCAGAGATTCACCTTGGGCAACTTGATATCAAACAGTAGTTTTTTGGATCCAAATATAATTTTCATGTTTCATGTTGTTTAAAAGATTCATATTATTAATTGAAGATCAAATTCTGATGATATGAAAAATTAATTATTTCAAATTTCACAGACATCACTTAATAATATATTTATAATACATTCTATTAAGGGTTGATTTTATTATATTAAATTTTTTTTTTTTTGTATTACAGGTCAAGAAGATTATGATAGATTACGACCACTCAGTTACCCGCAGACGGATGTATTTTTAGTTTGTTTCTCAGTCGTTAGTCCAAGTTCATTTGAAAATGTTAAAGAAAAGGTAAGATGGGAATTTATTCCATAATATATATATATATATATATATATATATATATATATATAAAGTGAATTAAGATTTTATTTAACAAAACATTTAAAAGGATTGTACATAAGTTCAAGATTTGCAGAAATTACTTTTAAAAAAGGTGCAAATTAAATTACAAAATTAGTATACTAATTGCCTACACACATAAAAATGCAATTAATTTTAAGTTAACTATTTGATTATTTTATTATAAATTAATTCAATTATTTTATTATAAATTAATTGGATTATCTGCCTATGGATTTCATGATTTCTGTTGTCGTAACTCAGTATTTTTTTATAAGAAATTGGTCTAGTGTTTGATTTTAGGTTTTTTTTCTTTTTTATAATAATTTTGTATAGTTTCAGTTTTCGACGCAATTTTACTTTCATATATTTTTCCTTTTTTTTAGATTTTGCAATTCCGTTGTGTAGTTCAAATACTTTTTAGTAAGAAGAACTATATACTATTTACTGATTATGCAAAATTTTACAAGATGATTCCTAATATATTTTAGTTGTTTTTTTTTACTATTATCTAATGGCCAATTGCAATTCCAGTTGCAATAGCTGTTTTTCATTAGAGAGTTCTTATTTTTCCGAGGTTAGCAATTTCCTTAAATCAGTCTTCATTAATTTTAAAAAGATCAAAAAATAGTCTCAGACAAAAAAAGTTAACCAAAAACTCTTATAATTTTTTTTTTGTTATATAGTTTTAGTATTTTAATATTTAATAATATTAATACTTCGATGTGCGAAATGCCTTATCGCCGATTATCACAAATCTAGCAAATATAGATAACAAATATTGGGCTGACAAATTTATGAGAAGACAATGAGATAATATTGATAACGAAAATATTCATTGATAAAGAATTAACCTTGTTTGTAAGGCGATGTATTTTAAAATGTAATTTTTTATTATGCAATATTGAATTTATTTTCTCCTTGTACTTATAAATCACCGGTAAATTAATATATTGATTTCCTATTGGGGCTCAGCGGTGGCGTAATCGGTACGTCGTGGGGTTTAATGGTTTGATTCCAAATATAACGTCTGATATTTTCATATTAAAAATTATTGTAATAGTATTTTATGTTAATATTTAATCAATGCTTATTGATAATTTAATACAGATCCATGATGGTAAATATCTCCAAACTTATGATAACAATCGATTTAAAAGAGTTTTGATATTATGGAAGTATTTTAGTGTAGAGACATGAATTTTAGATCATTTTTAATTAATTTATTTTTTTACTTTTATTTTTTTATAATTTATTTACCAATCTTACAAGAGTGCAGAAAAAATTCAACAAAAAAAAGTTAATAATTTAAAAATTAGCAGAGGTTGAAGTCGGAGGTCTAAAAAATTGACATGTGACCCTGTACACTATTGTAACCCTCCAAATAATAAGAAATGATAAAAAGATTATTGATCAAGAATGATATTGCTATGGTATATACTAGAGTGATTGTTTGAAAAACTTGGATCAAAACTTACCACTTTTTTGAGTTTCTCGATTTTTTAATTAGTAAATATTAAAATTTGCTAATGAGACTAGTATATATACTAGAGAGAAGTCTATAAAGAAGATTCTCTGAAAATTTTAAATAAATTGGTCTAAGAGTATTTGTGATATCGTCATTGTATTGAAAAAGACAGTTTTGAGGAAAACGCTTTTAAAGTTTCGCAAAAGGAAGGAAACAGAAGAAGAGGATTTTCATGGTCAAACATATACTCCTAAAATTATTTAAATTTTAAAAAATCCTCTCGTATATATATTCTTGAATAGCTAAGATTTGAAAATATAAAAAAAAAAATAAAAAAACGATATTTAGGAATTTCTACACTAAAATTACCTACCTCTCTTAATAAAAAGTCTGGTACATATACGAAACTTTTGTTAGCTTACTTAAGTATGAGATCTATTACACTTATTGCTAATTTACTTATTTCATAACTAGTTTTCATAAGCATCCTTTTATTAATTTATTTCTCTAGTTGCATTATTAGATTTTCTATCCTAAACCTAATTTTCTGCTTGGGGATGTTGGTGTTTTGTATTTTCAAGGGTTATGTAAAATTATGTATTTTCAAGTTACTTACAAGCCAGATATTCAATATATCCTGTAATGTCCTTTTACAGTCATACATGCGTTAGTAGGTTTATCTTATATAAAAAATTCTTCTGTATGGGTGTATGATACTTGTCTTAAATGGTTATTCGGATTTTGATAATTCTTTTTGGAGCTTGTCAAAGGAATTTTTTGAGATTTAATGAACGATAAAACTATAGTAATGTTGTAGAAATAAATGGAAAAAATACGGAAAACCACTTATCATTGTTTGACATTGAAAACATTTGAGCTCTCATCGGCTAAATTGATTCATTTGCCAAAAAACAACTAATATATCGTACGAGATTATGTAAATTATGGACTAAGTTATTGAATCAATAGTTATGCTGTGTGGTTAAATCAAGTGTGATATTGTTCTTTTACCTCGGATACTATATTATTCTGCTCTGAATTTCTTATACTGCTTCTGCTAAGACCATAAATGAAATAGGATATTAAAAAGTATAGGATAGGATATTAAAAAAGTTGGTTTATTGTACACGTGGGTACAGGACAACGCCTGTCGGGTCATCTAGTTTATCAATCATTTCTGTATCTGTATTCTGTTGACTTTTCCAGTGGGTCCCCGAAATAACGCACCACTGTCAGAAGACCCCGTTCCTGCTGGTCGGCACGCAGATCGATCTGCGCGACGACGCGGCGACGATGGAGAAACTGGCCAAGAACAAACAGAAACCGATAGGGTTGGAGCAGGGCGAGAAGCTCGCCAAGGAACTCAAAGCGGTCAAATACGTCGAGTGCTCGGCGCTGACACAGGTAAACGATAATAGATAGATAAGTCATATATATAATAGACATTACATGTACTGCTAGTCGTCATTAGTGTTAGAAGTATCGAGGCAAAAGATCGATATTGAGTACTTTGAAAAGTATCTAATCAAAATATCGATGCCAAAAAAATATCGTGGCGAAAGTATCGATGGTACTCAATATCGAATTTTGAGTACTTTTCATAAAAATCAAACATAAGTGCAAGAAAGATCTAAAACTCATTAAATATTATATCACAATATTAGAATGAATTCTATTGCTTGTAATCTGATGTGTTAAATCAGAATCATTTTCAATATTGTAAAATTTTAACAGTAATTTTTCAATACTAATTTCAAATTCTATAATTTTTCAAAAAAAAAGACGAAGTTATAATAGTTGATTATTTTTGATTAAAACAAGATAATAGTCTGATACTATATTCAAAAAGCAATACTTTTTAAGTATTTTTAAGCACAATCATATTTTTAATATTTTTCAGTACAAACAATTGCCACAAGAACCAAATTAATTTATTATTTTCTAAAAGTTTTTTGCCCACTATACTAAAGAAAGTATTCTTAAGTTTTGTTGTCATTCATTCAGAAAAGGTCAGTTGAAATCCGATTCCTAAAATATGTTCATAATGTGCACAATCTGAAAACGAGACATTTCAAGATTCACGTACCACAAAGAAAATATTGCTCTTCTGTTCTTTTTTAAATTGTTTATTTAATTTTTAATTTACAAGTACTTTACTTCAACTTACAATTCACATACTTTTAGAACGAAAAATAATAACGCATTGAAATCGATGAGTATTATTATTTGAAATAATTATATTTCGATTCTTTTTTACGCAAAATACTAATATATTGAAATTGATGAATATTATTATTTGAAATAATTATATTTCGATTCTTTTTTAAGCAAAATACTAATATATTGAAATTGATGAATATTATTATTTGAAATAATTATATTTCGATTCTTTTTTACGCAAAATACTAATATATTGAAATTGATGAATATTATTATTTGAAATAATCATACTTCGATTGTTGAATATGTTTTTATAAAACATTTTGGTACTTTAAAAAGGCGTTTCATTTTACAAAAGAGTAATAAATAAACATCTTTATTTATTTGTTGTGGTCATATCCATTTTGGGTTTTTGAGCAATAAATTCTGAGACTAATGACCCTTCGGGATCGTTTTTTGACACTTCTCTGAACAATTATGACCACCTAGAGAGACTATTGTATAGCATTCGGCAAAATGGTTGGTTTTCGTAGTTGGTCGATAAGTGGGGTTCATAGATTACGCTGTCGATTCTTTTTGAGTACTATCGACGTAAAAGATCGATATTGGCAAATATATCGAGCTAAAAAATCGATACCAAAAGTACTCACTATCGACCGCGAAGTATCGATATTTACTCAGTACTCGATATTTCGTTCTAACACTAGTCGTCATATGTTTTCCGTTGTATATAGTGCTCAAACATAGAAGGGTGTTTTTTCTTGTATAGCGAAGGAAATGCCTTTATGCATCCCAGACTGGTGTTCTGTCTGGGTATATCGGACTAAAACCTCCGCTTTCCGCTTGCCTCTGATCCCCACGGAAACCGCCGTTAGGCATTACTTCGTGGGGGGAGGATCTAGAATGTCATCATTCTTCACTTGATTTTATACTCATCTTTTAAATGAGCAAAGTACCATTCGTCGATTCTCTTTCATAGAAGGGTATGTGACGTCACAAGTCTGAGCGAACAATGCCGACGACAGTCGAGGACTGCTAGTCGTCATATGTTTTCCGTTGTATATAGTGCTCAAACATAGAAGGGTATGTTTTTTTTGTATAGCGAAGGAAATGCCTTTATGCATCCCAGGCTGGTGTTCTGTCTAGGTATATCGGACTAAAACCTCCGCTTTGCCCTTGCCTCTGGTCCCCACGGAAACCGCCGTTAGGCATTACTTCGTGGGGGGAGGATCTAGAATGTCATCATTCTTCACTTGATTTTATACTCATCTTTTAAATGAGCAAAGTCCCATTCGTCGATTCTCTTTCATAGAAGGGTATGTGACGTCACAAGTCTGAGCGAACATTGCCGACGACAGTCGAGGACTCTCTGACATAGACTTACGTGCCTGACATAGGCCTTACAATAATATATAAACCGATTTTAAGTACATTCATTTCACAGGGAAAATATTATCAATATCATTTCTTACAAAATTATCAGCCATCACAATTGCCATTATATTGTTGTTGACTGTTATTGATTTTTATTTAATCAATCGAGAAAGTTTTACGATTGTCGTCGGCACTGTTCGCTCACACATGTGACATATACCCTTCTTCGTTTGAGCACATATTTTGCGCTCGACTATTACAATCCATGTATTATATATATTTATTATTATGGAAGTTATATATAGGGCGGAGCCTGGCTCAAGGCACCACTAACTTATACTAATAAGAAGTGACAATTTTTTTGAAGTCAAAACCGGGACAACAGTTATTAGTTATGCTAATTGAACGGAGGGGTTGGGAGTATACCAAATAACTTAAATATAATTTTAAATAAACCTAATTTACAATGACAGTTTTTTAAACAAATAATTTTTTTTTTCAAATCAGAATTGCGTACTTTAGTAAGAACTTTATTATTCGTTTATATGTAATTTTTTTTTAAATTATGATGTTACATTATATCTTGTATTTTTTGTTCTTTGTTTTTTTTTTATTTTTGAGTCTTGTATAAAGTTTTCTTCATAAATACGTGGAAAAAATTAGCATTTTTTCGTTAGTTTTTCGTAATTTTTGTTAATATTCGTAAAATTGAAAATAAATGTTTGAATGTATTAATGTAAGAGGCTATTTTAACATGTCTTTGGAAATTTGTCGTCGGAAATTTTCTTATTTAAAACGTATTAATTCATTCTAACATGCTCGTTGTGTTGTAACATAATAAATACCTTTTTCAGGTATTCAATGAGGAGTTCTAATTTTATTATCAAGTACTTTTCGAAATTCTGTGCCAAAAATACCATTTTGAATCGAAAACAATAGATGCAACTCCATTATCTAAAAAATAAGTATAGTATGGTATTTTATAACTGATACTATTTTAAAGTAGAGGGCAAAAGATGTGTAACTCACGAAGTACACGACCACTTTGTCAATTTTGTGACGAAAGTATTTTTTTCGTCGTTGATTTTTTATGCTTTTGAGCACTGTTGTTTAGTTTACAATACCTGAATATAATTTTAATAAGTATACATACGTACATTATTCAATTATCACGCGCATTGTTACAAACTTTCCAAAGAAATGTTTGCTTTCACTAAAAAATCCGATTTGCTACTTTTATGCGGTGTCGACGTTTCAAGCCATTCTAAATCGAATGCGACCAAATTTGGAAAAAGTGTGTCTGTGTGAACCGATTTTTGACCTTCTATCGATGTTTTCTTATAAACGGTTGGATCGATTTCAAAAATTTAAAAGCTATTCGATGTATCTCGATGAGGACTAGCGACGATCTGCCGATCTGTTTCTTTATCATTAGCAGAAAAGTGTAAATTTTATGTCCACGTTTTAGCTCACAATCCTGAATTGATTTTAAAAATTTAGTTCGAGAGATATTGGTTGGGAATTGCTCTGATTAGTTTTTGGTAAAGATCTGCCGGGCCGTTTCTTTGTAAACAATTGTTGGCATTGATTCTGATGAAACTTTGTATAACGATAGATTTCCTAGTCTGAAATAGCATCCTAAAATATTATAGGCATGCGAAAAGTGGTTGAATAAAAAGTTGAGCGATTCTAATCGGAATCTATGCCGAGCAAAATGTATGTTCTTTGGTGTTTCGAAAGTAGCTGCTGATTGCAGTTGACTTGTTGTCCGCATTTAAATAAAATACATTTGTAGAACACGAAATAGAAGAAATAAAATGTGGTAACAAATTAATTTATTATCAGTATGTTTGAACGACATCAATTGTAAATCGTACCGATCATTTTTTTTAGTGAAAGCGAAAATATTATTTTTGAAATAAACAGTTTTACCTAAATAGCTAAATCCTATTTGATATCGGTCAAGTAGTTTATTTACACGTATCAAAAAGGTAATTTATTTTGCCTTGAGGCTAAATGCCACTCACACCTAGTTCTAATTCTTTTCCTTTCGTTTTCCAGAAAGGACTAAAAAATGTGTTCGACGAAGCGATATTAGCGGCACTGGAGCCCCCAGAGCCCGTGAAGCGCAGGAGGTGCCGTCTGCTCTAAGTTTGTTGTTTGTGCGGGTAAAATGAAACAATATTATTATAATAATGAAACTAAAAACTAACACACACACACATACAAACCTCTACTATCCTCCGAAATCAATGATACTGAATCTGAAAGCTGAATGACGACGACGACGATGATGATGATGATGATGATGTTCAGTGTTCTTCGTGGAGCCTTTTTTTCCAATAAACTAATTAAAGGAAATGACTATATAATAAGAAAATGAAAGTTGCGAGGTATTTGTTTTAATTCTTGTCTGTTTTTTTTTTGGCTTTTTGTACTTGATAATAGTAAAGGATTTATATATCTGTATGTAATTTTATACAAAGTTTGTTGTATGCTGAATGTTTTTTATCAAGACTTTTGTGCCAATACAAAACTGTATGCTCTCGCTTTTTGTATTGATATATATTTAAATTACTTTTAATCCTATTTTTGTTATCAAGTACAAAAACTTACAATTTCTTCATACGCATTTTACTGATAGGTAGTTAATAAATGTTACGTTAAATGTATATTTTTTCACATCTGCTTTCCAATCGTCAGTTTGGCCATTTTTGTGTTTTATCGACTACTTATATTGGAAAAATTAACCAAAATATAAATATATGTATATGAATAGAAATAATAAATTTACATTATATATATATGATATATTTATACACGTTACTAACTGAAGTAAAATGTCAATATTCTCTTTTTTATATCATTTGTTTTTGGTGAATAATTATACATGGTCCTTCTTATGCCCCTGAGCTTTTATCGAATAAGTTGTAAATAATAAATTTGAAATGATTTGATGAACGACTTTTGTATTTGTATTTGGCAGCATTTTTTCTATATATATATATTAGTATTTTGAAGAATTTTTTAACGTGGGAAATTTTGTAATGGGCTTGGAGAGGAAATAATGGAGTTTGATAGAAATCAGAAGAAGAGGAGTAAATATATATATATATATATATATATATATATATATATATATAATTAAATTAATTAGAAAATATGAACACACAACACTCGTTTTTTTTGCAATATTCATTATTTAAATTTTACAAACGTTTCGAGACTTGGTTTGCCTCATCATCAGTGTAATAATTTCAAATTTAATTACTAAAATATAGACAAGAAAGTCCGAGTGAGTTTTCTAGGGGGAGGGGGGGTTTGACAAAAATCACGAAATATCACTTGGGTGGGGGAGGGATGTGTATTTATTTTTTACCTGATTTTTTATTTAAATCCAAGTATTTTCGAAAAAAATAAAAAATTTTACAATTTTTTTTTTCGTAACTAAAAATACACGTGTTCTTTGTAACACCAAGGGGGAGTACAAAAATCCTTAAAAAAAATCGATCACGTGATCAATGGACGCCCCCTTATACAGGAAAATAATTGTCTCTGGAATTTAATCATGTATTTATTTTGTTCTAAAAAGTTTTATTTGGACTAACTATGAAAAATTGTCAATTGTACAAAAAAAAAAGAATAGTTGTTTTGTATAGTTACAAAGTATTTATAGCTATTAAATATAAAATTATTACACTGATGATGAGACAAACTGCGTTTCGAAACGTTTGCAAAATTTGAAATACTTAATAAATAGTGCAAAGTGTTGTAGGTTCATATTTTATAGTTAGTTAATTTATATATATATATATATATATATATATATATGTAAGTGTGGTCCTTGATATGGATATATTGGAATTTATTTTCTCCAGATGTATCCAAATGCTTCCAAATTAATGAAAAAAAAAATCTAAAAGTTTTAGCTCTTAATATTAACATTTAGATAGTCCGCAATTCATTTAAAAGTTTGTTAATTATTATTAACATATGTCATTTCTTGCTCTATCTGTGACAGCATTCGTGAACTCAAATATTATGACACTTGAAAATATTTATAAATCACTTAACCTCTAATTAAATCCATGTGGACTGTTTAACGAAATATTTATTCATCATGACATCAAAATTAATAATAAATATAATAATAATAATAAAATAAATATTTTGCAGCAAAATATTTATTTAATTGGTGATGTGAATACTCAAATTATCTGTCTGCTATCACAGATGGCGCAAGAGTTTACTTAATGATATATGTTAAAAAAAATATATGAAACTTGTAATTGAATTGCGGACTAACTGAATGTTAATATTAAGAGCTAAAACTTTTATAAAATTTGTTTTTTTCCATTTGGAATCATTTGGATCCATTTGGAGCAAAGAAATGTGAAAATGTCCATATTAAGGACCACCCCAGTGTGTGTGATATATATATATATATATATATATATATCCTATCTTCTGAATTTCTATCAGTCTTAACGCGATGTGCCCTTTTATAATTCGCCACTAGCTATATAATAATATATATTTTAATAATAATAAACAACAAATTTGATGATGTTTAAACAATATCATTATTTTACTACAATCTTTTTCCAAAGAACGAAGCACATTTATATATATAATAAACATTATATATATGTAAAAAAATTATTCCGATTGTGTCATCTTCCAACAAAAAAAAAATTGTAAATCTATAAAATTGTTAATTTGATTGAAATTGAGTTGTGGTCTTTTTAAGGACAATCCATAGTTTGTTTATATATATATCAAGAAGAAAAAAATGAACCCGTTTCCAATATTTTATTGTAAATAGGGTTTGATAGTGTGTGAATGCGAGTGTGCATTATTTTAATATTTTAATTTTAAATATGAAAATTTCATTCAAGAAATACATACTGCAAAAATTGAATTAAAATCTTTGATGTGTACAAATTTTGGTTCAGTATTTCAAGGAAAGAAATTTAATAAATAAATTAATAGATTTATGGAAATCAATTTTTGCTGTACGTATAGGTAAGAGATATGCAAATTATACTTTTAGTCTGAACTAATGCTATATACATATATATTTAATAATTAATACGTACACACTGCATGCACATGGTAGTAATAGACACATTATATATTATATATATATATATATATATATATAATACATTATATATATATATATAATATATATATATATATATATATATATATATATATATATATATTAGGGTGGTCCTTAATATGGACATTTTCGAATTTGTTTGCTCCCAAGGGCTCAAATGCTTCCAAATTAATAAAAAAAGTCTTCTAAAGGTTTTAGCTCTTAATATTAATATTTAGCTAGTCCGCAATTAAATTAAAAGTTTCATATAATTATTATTAAGTAAATTCTTGCGCCACCTGTGATAGCATTTGTGAATTCAAATATGACACTTAAAAATATTTATAAAACACTTGACCTCTAATTAAATCCATGTAACGAAATATTTATTAATCATGGCATCAAAATTAATTTTGCATCGAAATATTTATTTAATTGGTGATTTTGTCACTCAAATTATGAGTAATAAATTGCCATCAAAATTGCAAGTCTGCTTACACAGATGGCGCAAGAATTTACTTAATAATAAATATACGAAACTTTTAATTGAATTGCGGACTATCTAAATTTTATTATTAGGAGCTAAAACTTTCAGAGAATTTTCTTTTATCAATTTGGAAGCATTTGAGACCTTGGGAGCAAAGAAATTCGAAAATGTTTATATTAAAAACTACCCTAATATATTTATATATATATATATATATATATTAGGTTGTCAAATATCTCCCTTCCGCTTTTTTGCTCTTGGTTTATAATACAAAAAGGCGGAAGGGAGATATTTGACAACCTTATATATATATATATATATATATTGTAGTGTGTATTTATTTACCCATGTGCATGTCGCCTGCCCTCATATTATGCTTGTCTAAATATTATGGGTTAAAACAAAGATGTTACGAATTGTAGATTTTCTACTGTTATAATTTAATATCGAATAGAGAATTTTTTGATGCAAGTTCAAATCATTTTTAATATAAGAACAAAAGTTTTAACACTAAACTTACTATAAAGCTGAAATTATTTCCTATTTTAATTGAATGTATATATATTTTATTGATACTTAGAATAGAATTTTATTTAACATTTTAAAAATGCCAAATTTATTTTGTGCTTATTTTAAATGTTTTATGGAATAATATTTTAATAAATTTTATCTGCAATCTATTTGAGTAACACGTTACTCAAAAGTTAAAAATTACTTTTACATTTGTGCAGTATGTTTAGTGTTAAATAATTTTATTACTACCACCTTTGACAATGGCACGAACTCAAAATATTTATTTTACATGTTCAAAATTTGCGTTTTAACAATTTTAGTATTGTGATTTTAGCATGAATGTTTCTTTTAGTAATAATAAAATTAAAATAAACATATATTTATATAACATTGTATTTATAAAAATAAACAAAAAAATAATAGTACTTGCTAGTTGACCATCCATCAGCATTATTGAGATTGTTTTGAAAAAAAAAAAAAAGTCAATTTAGGTTAATTTATAATTTTTGCTCTTTAACAAATTGTTTATTTATATTGTAGTATTTGTTTTAAATATAACTTGTGCCAGATTCTTCTTTTCTAAAACGAATTGATATAATTTTATAGATATATTTAGAAATATTGTTTTTGGGCATGGAGGGTAAAAGTAATTGACGTTTGAATGGAAAAAATGGGTCTTTGTATATATGGAACTTGATTTTTATGTTTTGTGACCCTAAAAAGAAATCTTCCTGAGAGAATCAATTTCTTCTTTGCTCCACAAATGTAACACACACACACACAGGGTCTGTTACAAACATCGGGAAATATATGACTATATATATTTCTATCATTTTCATACTTTTTATACTAAACATTTATATTTGGTAAAGAATGTATGATTTATTATTATATAAATGCTAAAATATTTATGTACATTGCAATGTGTATTTACCGATCGAACCAACAAACAATAGCAAAGGAACATTTTTTACAATAAAATGGCATTAGTCGAGCCAAGTTATGAAATATGTCAAATGTAATAAAATTTAATAATAAAACTATTTGAAATAAATTATAAGTCTTATTTACATTATATAACATACATTTTTGGAGTAATCAGTACTAAATATATCTACTATCCTAGGAGTTATTCCTTTAACGTGATATTGCTCTCGTATAATGATATGTCCGAGGCTCCTTCTTTTAACAGCTCGTTCTTTGCCAATATTTGTTTTCTTTGTATTTCAGGTTTTATATCAGTAAAGTATTGATAAACTCGGAATCCAAGACTGAGTGTTCCCAAAACGGTGATGCCCATGCAGGCCATGACGGCGCCTTTGTGCAGACGGTCTAGTAGAAGGTTTTTTGCGGCTCTTTTCATAGTAGTAAAATATTATTTATTAAATTATATATACGTATTTAATTTAGAAATATTTGTACAATAATTTGACAGCTCTTAACCTCAAAAATTTGAACGAAGGAGACAGTCGGAGACAGTGTTGCCAGATGTAAAACTCACAAAGTGCTGTCAAATAAAATGGCGGTAGATTTGAATTGAATATAAATTTAAATAGTATTTATTACTAACACATAAGTGTTTAGTAATAATACTGAAAATATTCATATTTCAGCCAATATATATTAAAATAATGCGTTCCGTTTATGTATAATTATCCTTTTTTTTTAATTTAATTATTAAAATTGTTTATGACACGTGCCTAACTTAAGGCACATTATCTTCCTCATCGCGTTGCACAATTTTACTTTCAAATTGCATATGTGTTTGTTGCAAAAGAAAGGCTTTGTGTAATGAAAATAATTGTGTACAAGTGCATCTAACAGCTGTTACTAACATAATTCACATTTAAGGTATTATTTTATTGTAAAACTTGTTATAAACATTTGTTGTCAAATATAACCTAACTAAAGAAACCGACAATATTGTGCACACAAAATTCTATTTAGATTTGACATATTCTATATATTGTATTATGTGCAGCTAACCCAGCACAAAATTCTGTATTACATTTATCTTATTATTTGTTCCAGTTTGACATTTATCTTATTATTTGTTCCAGATTTCTTTCCCCCAAGCCTTTTGATGGTAATTCTTTCAAGACTAACTCGGATACTATCATTTGCAACAAATAGAATAAAACAAACACCAACAGGTTTACTATATTTTTCTACTCAAGCCAAACCACAGTGGGGCTCCAAAAAGCAGCACAGACAAATCAAATTGCAACTACTACAACAAATCATGGATCCTAAAGCTGAAGAAATTTTGGCACCTTTGAGAGCCAGCGTCAAAGAACAAGTAATAATAGCCACACATTGTTTTAACAAATTTATTTGCTTATCTTACATAAAACTAAATCTAATATAAATACTATACATACATCAGTTTTTTAATATTTATCTTGTTTCTTTTCCTCAAGGGTGATTTGGTGCGTGAGCTAAAATCAAGTGGAGCACCTCAAATAGATGTGAAAAAAGCTGTAGTGGAATTGTTAGCACGCAAGAAAGCCCTTGAAGAAAAGGAATTGAGTCTACAACCACAAGTAGCAACATTTGATCGTTCTAAAATGGAAGATTTGTTGAAAAGAAGATTCTTCTATGATCAGTCGTTTGCTATTTATGGAGGCATTGCTGGTAAGTGGCTTTTTGACTTATGATAATATTTTTTTTGTTGGAACCGTCACCTTTTTATTTAAATTAATTAAAACTAATGCTTAGAGATACATGTTGCTTATAGTAATTAAAATTTAAACTATGCACAGTGAGAATTAGTTGGAAAAATATAAAATGGAATGAGGTATGGTGAATTCTTTTTTGTTTAGCCCAACAAAATTAAAAACTTGTTGTGTAATCTACTTAATAATTATAAACGAAGGAAAGATGATTTATTTAAGTTACAATTCTATCATTTAAAATTTTTCTTTGAATTGATTTTAAGTCTATAGACGACATCCAGTCTGTTACCATTTGTATCAGCTTGAATAAAATTATTGAGAATACTAATTTGCTATTGTGGGGTTATATACTTTAAAAGTGTAATTTTTAATTTTGTAATATATTCTCATTGATGATGAATGGAAAATCTTTAAATTCGTTATGTGAGAAATATTTGAGCTTGTTGGCTTATATAGCAGTGTTACTCCTTTGGAATACACTAAGTTAATTATTAGGCCATTTTAATTGATAAATGAGAATTTCATCAGGAACTGTGTATTTTGTACATTAGTTCTATTAAATGACTTTTGTAACTTTTCTTCTTAGGCCTTTTGCTTCATGTTTTCTAATTAAAAGAATTTTTCGTACTCATTTTCAATTTAATTTTACTATTGTTCAGTTGTTTTTTTTGTCCACAAGGCTTTCCCGACGTAATATAATTAAAAATGTTGATTTCAAGTTGAAAACAATGATTCACATCATAAAATAATTAAATAATTATATTCAGGTATTGTAAACTAAACAACAGTGCTCAAAAGCAAAAAGACTAACGAAAAATAATATTTACATTAAAATATTGGCATAATCGCAAAAAAAATCCTTGAGGCAAATTGCTGGAACTTCCCCTACCGAATTAAAATTTCGAAAACCTGATTTATTTTCGATATTCAAAATAACAAAGTTTCCCAAAAACAATTGTTCTGTTAACACAAGCAGAAAGTTTTTTGAATCATTCAAATGGGGTGCCTAGTTCTCTCAAAAACTGCCATTTTTGCTCTGTATCTCCAAAACGGCTGGACCTGCCTTTGCCAAAAACTAATCACCACTTCTCCCCATAATTACGTATTGAATGCTTTTTAGATCATTCAAATCAGACGCTCCATTCTCTCAAAATCTCGATTTCTATTTTCTGCACTCTTTGCTCCGTATCTCCGAAACGGCTGGACCTGCCTTTGCAAAAAACTAATCAGCAGATCTCTCTATCAATAGAAATCGAATGTTTTTTTAACCATTTAAATCCGTTGATCCGTGCGCCCGAAAACGTGGACGAAAAATTGTATCCATACATACATACACTCTCTTTCTTTCTCTCTCTCTCACACACACATCCATTTTTTTAAAGTACGCCAAAATGTTCAGAAACCGCTGAAACGTAAAAAATGCAAGAATTTTCGATTTTTGGACGATTACAATAACTATCCCTACGGGAAGTTAGAAGTGATGATTCCCGACGATTTCGGGAGCATGGATCAACCGATTTGAATGATTCAATAAGCATTCTATTTGTTTTGATAGAGAGACGTGCTGATTAGTTTTTGATAAAGGCAGGTCCAGCCATTTCGAAGATACGGGATAAAGAATGCAGAAAATAAAAATAGAGTTTTTGAGAGAACGGATCATCCGATTTGTATGATTCAAGAAACGTTTTATTTGTTTTTTTTTTCATGTAGAAGTCGTTGTATCCAGCTATGATGTAAAATCGCATGTTTATCTAAACTTATTGGAAAAATATACTTATGGGCTGTAAAATTGAAACTAAGGTATAAAATAAAACTAAGTTATCGGAGGGTTGACTGTATATAAAGATAGAACAAATTCGCTTTACTCTATGAGTGTTTTCAGCATATCACAAATGGCGCTAGTGTGCTTCAAATTCAAAGTTTGTTCTTAAACACAGTCACGTACTTTAAACGTTCAATTACTAATTTTATATACTGATGAAATATATCTTTTTTGAACGAAAAAAATGCTATTAAATATTTTTCACCACATATTTGAGATTTTGTTGAAAATATATTTAATACGTGTATATTTTGTTCTCACTTCATTTAGTCAAATTAATCAGTTTCATCTTTTCGGTATAATATATTTATATAAATTTTATCTGGATTTGAACCTCCAAGGGTAAATTTTCGTGCTACTGTTGGTGGCGACCTCTATGATGAACGAATTAAAATTAATGTAAAGACAAAGCGGTCGTGTTTGCCATCTATTTAGGGATCGTTCAAGTATTGCGCAAGCAGATTTATTACAATTATTTGCCCCCCAATCCCCCTTGTCAGCAAAAGTAAGCAAAGCTCTTACCCCCTACCCTCATGCTTACGTAAACATTTTGCAATTAATGTAAAAAATAAAAATACTACCTTTGACGTAATCATCATCCAGACTCGCCTGCCCCCCATGTCAGCTCAAAATAAGCAAATCAACGACCCCCGACCCCGTATAGTGCTTACGTAATACTTGAACGGCCCCTTCTACTTGTTTATCTATGTTTAAAACAGTCTCTCTAGATACAGTATTTTTTACAACATATTTGTGATTTTATTGAGAATATATTTTAAGCGCGTATATTTTGCTCTCATTTCATTTAGTCAAATTAATCGGTTTCATCTTTTCTGTATAGTATATTTATATAAATCTTATCTGGATTTGAACCTTTAAGGGTGAATTTACGTGCTACGGTTGGTGGCGATATCTATGATATGCTGAACGAATTAAAATTAATGTAACGTCAAAGCGGCCGTGTTTACTACCTATTTAAACTTATTCACCTATACTGTATATCTATTAATTATTACTATGAGAACATCAAGTTTGATGAAACGTAAATTTAAGTACTCACAGAGTCTAAGTAAACCAAGCTAATGCAAATTTCATACAAAATTCTTGTTGTCCGGAACAACTCTAAATCCGTGCACCTTCCTATTATCATTCTTATTGGCGTTCCTCTCCATATTCAGCAAAAGTTGTTTTCTCTCGAAGGAATAAGGCAAAGGCTTGGTCACTGATGTTGTGTTCAAACGATCACCCCTAGATTGGTAATGCAAATCCAAAACCCTGGGGTTGAACTTTTTGGGTTTTTTCATTTTGGGGTTGTACAGATGCAACTTGACCTCATCCACGTCCATACGTTTGTCGAAGGTGTACTCCGGACCCACTTCGAAGTAAATGGCGTTGTTTTTGAAAGCCGAAGGCTTCTTTTTGTAATACAAAGTGTCTGCGTATATACTCGATGGCTCGTTAGGTTCTGGTAAACCCTTGGGTGTATCATTTACCATAGTCACCAAATTTGTTCTTGTACGGATTGTATTAATCTCTTTCCCCGGAGTACTAGATATTGGTGTAGTCGCCGTCGTGGTGGTTGTCCCTGCAGTTGTTATGGTAGTGTTAATAGTAGATGTGACCTCCATGGAATCGGTGGTTTCCTTAGACGATAAGTTGGTGGTTTGGCGATGGAGTCGACTGTATTTCTTGGTTCGGTATTTTGGCTGTAGTTCTCCCGATTCGGATGATTCGACGCTGCCGGATTCGACGCTTGCGGAGGAGGCGTAGTCTTGCTTTTGGAGCAGTTTGCGCAGGGGATGGCGGTGGCGTCGGGAGCGTCGGGCCTGGGTGCTATCTAAGCTTAACTAAAATGATAAAAAATAAAAAATTATTTATTTTTATTAATAACACAAGTCTACAAAATAAAAAAAGTTGTTTGGTTTGGGTGTGCAACATATGATTTGCAATGCAGTTTTTTTACCGATGAATACAGATAACTTGACAAGAGCCTGAAATAATATCTATTATTATTGATTACGGCTTGCTTATGAATAAATAAATAAATAAATAAAGATGTAAAGTCATAGTTAGGTGTCTGATTGAAAAATAAACTAGTGGAGTATGGCATCGTGCCTTAAGGCAAATTGCTGGTACTTCCCGTACCGTAACGAAATGTTCGAGGAATAGTGAATGTTTTCAAATAGATTATTATTATAAATATTGTAACTTATATATGTTTACAGAAAAGTGAATAAACAAAATTTGATCAATCGGATTAAAAATGAAGAACATTATCTAATATTTCTAACTATAAACTGAATTGCAAAGTTAGAATTCTTATTCATTTATTAACTTCTCGTAGGGTAGTTATAGTAATGGGCCGAGAATCGAAAATGAATTTTTTTGCATTTCTCCACGTTTTGAAGGTTTCTGAACATTTTACTGGCATACCCTCAAAAAAATTGTATGTGTGTGTGTTTTGTTTGTCCGCATTTTTTCGTCCACGTCTTCGGGCGCACGGATCAACAGATTTGAATGGTTTAAAAAACATTCGATTCCTATTGATAGGGAAATGTGCTGATTAGTTTTTGGCAAAGGCAGGTCCAGTCGTTACGGAAATACGGAGCAAAGAGTATCGGATTTGAATGATCTAAAAATTTTTTGTGTTGACAAGCGTATTTTATGAACAACTTATGAGTACATTTACAAGAATCCATTTTTTTAAATTAGATATTTTTGATAATTCAGAAATGTTTTCAAGATCGTTTTTTTTTTAATTTTTATATTTTTTGAATTTTTTTAAAATTTAGTTTTTTTTTGAAAACGTTAAAATATTTCGAAAATTTGAATTTTTTGAAATTTTGATTTTTTTTGAAAAATTTCAAAATTACTAAATTTTCTGTAAATGCATTTTTTGCACACCGTCTGCTCACTCAGAATGTTTTCTGAATTAATCTAATTGGATGATCCGTTCTCTCAAAAACTGCATAATCGTTTTTACACCCTTTGCGTTTCATACCTCCGATATGAACACCTGATAATTTGATGTACATACGTATGTCCAATAAACATTTTTGACCGCCAAATGGCATTTTTTTTAACTTATTTTTATTGAGAGTCCATAACTGCTAGACCTGCCTTTCCCAAAAATTTAA